TTTTTGAGATAGAGTCTCACTCTGTTGCCAGGCTGGAGTGGTGTGCAGTGGCGTGATCTCAGCTCACTGCAACCTCCGCCTCCTGGGTTCAAGCGATTCTCCTGCCTCAGCCTCCCAAGTAGCTGAGACTACAGGCATGCACCACCATGCCCACTAATTTTTGTATTTTTAGTAGAGATGGGGTTCCACCACATTGGCCAGGATGGTCTCGATCTCTCAAACTCGTGATCTGCCTGCCTCGGCCTCCCAAAATGCTGGGATTACAAACATGAGCCACCATGCCTGGCCCTATCTGCAGCTTTTAACAGAGCTGATCAATCACTATTCCTGGCAGCACTTCCTTCAGGTGGTTTCCAGACCACCACAAGCCTCTGGATTTCTTCCTACCCTGAAGGTGCCCTTTCTCAGTGTCCTTCTCCTGGCATCTTAACGTTGGAGGCCTGGGGCTGTGATCCTTGGCCCTGTTTTCTTCCCTCTAGTCACTCACTCCACTCCTGGTTATCTCAGACAGCCTTGGGGTCTCCAGTGTGCTGATGCCTCCTCAAATTCTATCTCGACCCCAGACCTCCCTCCTGAACACCAAACATTTCCCCTTGGATGTTCAATACGGAACGTGATAAAGTGAATCTTGGACACAGTCTTCCCATCTTGCAGAATGGCAATTCCACCCACCAGGGGCTCATACCCTAACTCTTGTATCATCCTCCTCTTTTTCCAGAATCCCTGTCGTGGCCTAATAACTGGTTTTACTGATTATTTTTTCCTACATACAACAGCCAAAGTATCCTCTGACTGCTCTGTTCAAAACCCTCCAATTCACACAGAATGAAAACCAGAGGCTTTCTGCCCTCCCCATGCCACACTGTACTGACCTCCTTGCCTGCCACTCCGACTTTTCTCCAGCCTCCTCCTCTTTTCCTCTCATGCTGCCAGACAAGCCAGACCCCATGCCTGCCTTAGGGTCTTGCCCTGGCTCTTCCCTCTGCCTGGAAGACTCTTCTTGTAGATACCTGCACAGCCCTACCTCCCTCAAAGTCTTTGGGTAAATGTCATTTTCTCAACCAGGCCTACCGTGACCACTGTAGGGGATCTGTTAACTTCCTCTACCCTAGCCCTCTCCATCCCCTTTATCTTATTTATTGTCACTATCAGACATATCACCTTCCAATAGCAGCAGCCTCATTATATGATTATACGAACTCTCATCACCCAAGTATGTGCTCTAAATACCTGTAAAACTTTTTTTTTTTGAGTCGGAGTTTCACTCTTGTTGCCCAGGCTGGAATGCAATGGCGCAATCTTGGCTCACACCTCCGCCTCCTAGGTTCAAGAGTAACGGGAATTACAGGCATGCGCTACCGCACCCAGCTAATTTGTTTGTATTCTTAGTAGAAACGGGGTTTCTCCATGTTGGTCAAGCTGGTCTCAAACTCCCAACCGCAGGTGATCTGCCCACCTCGACCTCCCAAAGTGCTGGGATTACAGGCATGAGTCATTGCACCCAATCAATACCTGTACAACTTTCTATCCCAGATTCACTAACTGAATTGCAAACTTGCTAGAAGGAATCTGTGTGTGCAGATAGCACGATGCAAAGTGCAGTGTGTGACGGGACTGCAACCAGGCCCAGTCCGGCCCTTTCAAGCATGGTACACTACTGTCCTCATCTTTCCTACCCTTCCCCAGCGATTTAGGTTTCATGGGTTCCAGTATTTGCTTATTCCAGGTGCCTGGGGCACTACCAACCGGAGTCCAATGTCAAAATTATTTTTAATATACTGATGTATCATTTGTTTATCTATGTAACAGTATATCTTCGTTTGCAGTACAGAAGCAAAACCACTTATATCTAAATACTAAAGTAACATTATAGCATATTAAAATGTCAGTATGTTTTTCAAATTAGGTTACAGGTGTTTTATTATTATTTTGAGATAGAATCTCACTCTATCACACAGGCTGGAGTACAATGGCACGATCTCGACTCACTGCAAAGTCCACCTCCCAGGATCAAACCATTCTCCTGCCTCAGCCTTCCGAGTAGCTGGGATTACAGGAGTGCGCCACCACACCCAGCTAATTTTTGTATTTTTAGTAGAAGTGGGGTTTCACCATGTTGACCAGACTGGTCTTGAACTCCTGATCTCAGGTGATCCACCTTCCTTGGCCTCCCAAAGTGCTGGGATTACAGGCATGAGCCATCACACCTGGCCAGGTTACTGGTGTTTTAAATGCTTCTGATTTAGACCAAAAATTCTTACCATATAGATATTTAACAGTATTCTTGCCAGGTGTAGTGGCTCACGTCTAATAAATCCAGCACTTAGGAGACAGAACTTGAGCCCAGGAGTATAAGTGCTGCCTGGGCAATATAGTGAGACCCCATTCTCAAAAAGAAAAAAATCAAGAGTATTGTAGTGATATTTAAGGAAACTGGTTGAGGTTTCTTGGATGTCTAAAAATAAATTATTTTTCACTTTTATTCTTTATTTCGATTTTTTGTTCATTTGTTTTTGAGATGGAATCTTGCTCTGTTGCCAGGCTAGAGTGCAGTGGTATGATCTAGGCTCACTGCAACCTCTGCCTTCTGGGTTCAAGCGATTCTTGTGCCTCAGCCTCCTGAGTAACTGAGATTAACAGGCTCCTGCCACCATGTTCAGCCAATTTTTTTTGTATTTTTAGTAGAGACAGGGTTTCACCATGTTCGCCAGGACAGTCTCAATCTCTGACCTCGAGATCTGCCCACCTCGGCCTCCCAAGGTGCTGGGATTATAGGTGTAAGCCATCGTGTCTGACCTCAATTTTTAAATAAATAATTTTTCTGGGTACAAAGTAGGTATATATATTTACGGGGTACATAAGATATTTTGATACAGGCATGCAATGTGTAATAATCACATCAGGTTAAATGAGATGTGATAAATCCACCACCTCAAGCATTTATCATTTATTTGTGTTACAAATATTCCAATTATACTTTTAATTATTTTAAAATGTACTATAAATTATCCTTGACTGTAATCACCCTGTTGCATCATCAAATATCAGATCTTTATAACATTAAAAAAATTTTTATAATTAAAAATGTTTTGGCTGGGCGTGGTGGCTCATGCCTGTAATCCCAACTTTGGGAGGCTGAGAAGGGCAGATCACCTGAGGTCAGGAGTTCGAGACTAGCCTGGGCAACATGGTGAAACTCCATCTCTACTAATAGTACAAATATTAGCTGGGCATGATGGTACATGCCTCTAATCCCAGCTACTTAGGAGGCTGAGGCAGGAGAAAAGCTTGAACCTGGGAGGCGGAGGTTGCAGTGAGCCGAGATTGTAGCACTGCACTGCAGCCTAGGCAGGCAACAAGAGTGAAACTCCGTCTCAAAAAAAATTTTTATTTTTTAAAATAAAGATGGGGTTTCACTATAGTGCTCAGGCTGGTCTCAAAACTAGTGGATGAGGGATCTTCTTACCTCAGCCTCCCAAAGTGCTAGGATTACAGGCATGAGCCACCATACTTGGCCAAACAGAAATGATCTTATTCATTGTATGTTTTTTTTTTCTTTTTTTCTGAGACAGAGTCTTGCTCTGTCACCCAGGCTGGAGTATAGTGGCACAATCTTTGCTCACTGCAACCTCATATTTCAACCAATTCTCCTGCCTCAGGAAAATGTACTAAGTCTCTTCACCTCCTGAGAAGGTGGGACTACAGGCAACCACCACCACGCCCAGCTAATTTTTATATTTTTAGTAGAGATGGGGTTTCACCACATTGGCCAGCATAGTCTCTATCTCCTGACCTCGTGATCTGCCCACCTCGGCCTTGCAAAGTGCTAGGATTACAGGCGTGAGCCACTGTGCCCAGCCCTAATTTACATTCTTACCAACTACGTATGAGGGTTCCCTTTTCTTTACATCCTAAACAGCATTCACTATTGCCTTCTTTTGGATAAAAGCCATTTTAAATGGGGTGAGATGATATATCATCGTAGTTTTGATTAGCATTTCTCTGATAATCAATGATGTTGCATACCCTTTCTTATGCCTGTTTGCCATTTGTAGGTCTTCTTTTGAGAGATGTCTATTCAGATCATTTACCCATTTCTTAATTGGATTATTAGATATTTTCCTGAGTTGTCTGAGCTTCTTATATATTCTGGTTATGAATCCCTTGTCAGATGGACAAGGGACCCCTTTTCGGCCTCCCAAGGTGCTGGGATTACAGGCATGAGCCACCATGCCTGGCCCAAAGCTTTTTAACTTGATGTGATCTCATTTGTTCATTTTTGCTTTGTTTGCCAGTGCCAGGTATTACACAAGAAATCTCTGCCCAAATCAATTTCCTGGAGAGTTTCCCCAATGTTTTCTTTTATTATTATTATTTTAGTAGCCAAAGCAGTTGAAAAATTATTTTCTTTTAGTAGTGTCATAATTTCAGGTATTAAAGTCTCCAGTCCATTTTTATCTGACTTTTGTATATAGTGAGAGATGAGTCTAGTTTCATTTCTCTGCATATGGATATCCAGTTTTCCCAGCATCATTTATTGAAGAGACTGTCCTTTCCCCAATGTATGTTCTTGGCATCTTTGTTGAAAGTTAGTTCACTGTAGATGTATGGATTTATTTCTAGATTCTCTATTCTGTTCCATTGGTGTAGGTGCTTGTTTTTATGCCAGTACCATGCTGTTTTGGTTACTATAGTTCTGTAGTATAATTTGAAGTCAGATAATGTGATTTCTCAAGTTTTGTTCTTTGTGCTCAGGATGGCTTTGGCTATTCTGGGTCTTCTGTGGTTCCATATACATTTTAGGATTGTTTTTTCTATTTCTGTGAAGAATGTCATTGGTATTTTCATAGAGATTACATCAAATCTGTAGATTGCTTTGGGTGGTATGGACATTTTAACAATATTGATTCTTCTAATCCATGAATATGGAATACCTTTCCATTTTTTTGTGTCTTTTTAAATTTCTTGCATCAATGTTTTAGTTTTTTTGTTTCTTTTGTAATCCAACTGGATTTTATTTGACACGTAATACAACATGGTTACAGAAACAGCAAACTGAAAAAACAAAACAGAAAAACACAGTTCCATCTAATTTCTAATTAGGTAACAGCAGGGAAAGTCATTCAATGAATAACAAAACCATTAAGCTTGATGGAAGAAGCCTTTTCCTAGTGCCCATACTTTTGGAATTCCCACTCTCTGTTGTCCAACGGACACACCTGTCGTGTTTTGAGCCAGCGAGAGATGCAGTGGAAGTGAAAAGCATGGTTGCAGACTCCCCATGCAACTGTACACTCTTCTGAAGTAGCGGACGCCTGGTTAGCTTGACATTCTATGCAAAGATCCATAAAGTGGTTCCTGCAGATGGCACAGTTATCAACCACAATATCCCAGGCCCAGAGGGCTACTGCATTCCATGTTTTCACTTCAAAGCGCTTCTTGCCCACACCACGGTTGGTGCCGCTCGGGTTATCCACATCCATTGCTGCCGCCATTTTGGAAACACAAGGTCTGTTGTCCGACCATCACGCCTGTGCAACTGCGTACGCCTCACTCCCTCGCCTCCCGGCACCTCCTCCCACCCCACCTCTTTTATCTGTTTTTGGAGACAAGAGTCTTACTCTGTCCTTCAGGCTGGAATGCAGTGGTGTGATCTCGGCTCACTGCAATCTCCAACTCCCGGGTTCAAGTGATTCGCCTGCCTTAGCCTCCCGAGTAGTTGGGATTACAGGTGCCCACCATCATGCCCCACTAATTTTTTTTTTTAATATTTTTAGTAGAGACTGGGTTTCACCATGTTGGCCAGGCTAGTCTTGCTCCTGACCTCAGGTGATCTGCCTGCCTCGGCCTCCCAAAGTGCTGGGATTAGAGACATGAGCCACCATGCCCAGCCTATAGTTTTCCATATAGAGATCTTTCACTTCTTTGATTAAGTTTATTCCTAGGTATTTTATTTTATTTGTTGCTCTTATAAATGGGATTACTTTCTTGATTTCATTTACAGATGCTACTGATTTCTGCATGGTGATTATATATCCTACAACTTCACTGATTTTCTGTTTTTTTCTTTTTTCTTTTTTGAGACGGAGTTTTGCTCTTGTTACCCAGGCTGGAGTGCAATGGCGCGATTTCGGCTCACCACAACCTCCGCCTCCTGGGTTCAGGCAATTCTCCTGCCTCAGCCTCCCCAGTAGCTGGGATTACAGGCACGCGCCACCATGCCCAGCTAATTTTTGTATTTTTAGTAAAGACAGGGTTTCACCTCATTGACCAGGATGGTCTTGATCTCTTGACCTCGTGATCTACCCGCCTTGGCCTCCCAAAGTGCTGGGATTACAGGCTTGAGCCACCGTGACCAGCCAACTTCACTGATTTTATCAGTTCTAATAGCTTTATTGTGAAGTGCAGGTTTTTTCACATATAAGAGAATATCATCTGCAAACAAGGATAATTTGACTTCTTCCTTTCCAGTCTGGACGCCTTTATTTCTTTCTCTTGCCTGACTGCTATAGTTAGAACTTCCAGTACTATACTGAATAACAGTGGTAAAAGCGGGGATCCTTGTCTTGTTCCAGATCTTAGAGGTAAGCCTTCCAGTTTTTCTCCATACAGTCTGATACTAGCTATGGGTCTGTCATATATGGCTTTTATTGTGTTGAGGTATGTTTCTTTTATACCCATTGTTTTGAGGATTTTTGTCATGAAGCCTTGTTGAATTTTATCAAATGCTTTTTCAGAATCAATCTTTGTTTCTAGAGATGAGGTTTTGCCATGTTGCCCAGGCTGGTCTCAAAACTCTTGGCCTCAAGTGATCCATGGCCTCCCAAAGTGCTGGGATTACAGTCAGGAACCATGATGCCCAGCCATTCAGCATCAATTGAGATGATCACATGGATTTTGTCCTTCATTCTGTTGATATGTTGTATCACATTAACTGATTTGTATATGCTGAACTATCCTTGCATTCCTGGGATCTCACTTGGTCATGATGAATGATATTTTTAATGTTTTGTTCAATTCTGTTTTCTAGTATTTTCTTGATGATTTTTGCATCAACGTTCTTCAAAGATACTAGCCTGTCATTTTCTTTGGTTTTGGTACCAGGGTAATAATACTGGTCTTATAGACTGAGTCTGGAGGTATTTTCTATTTTTTTGGAATAGTTCTTCTTTAAATGTTTGGTAAAATTCAGCAGTGAAGCTATCAAGGCCTGAGCTTTTCTTTGCTGGGAGACTTTGTTAATGGCATCTAGCTCATTATTTGTTATTGGTCTATTGAGGTTTTGAATTTCTTCATAGTTCAATCTTGGTAGGTTGTATCAGTCCAGGAATTTATCTATTTCTTCTAGGATTTTCCAGTTTACTGGTATATAGCTGCTAATAGCAGCCACTAATGATCCTTTCAATTTCTGCAGTGTCAGTTACCTCTTTTTTCAGCTCTAACTTAATTTATTTGGGTCTTCTATTTTTTCTTAGTTGGTTCAGCTAAAGGTCTGTCCATTTTGTCTTTTCAAAAAAGCATTTTTGGCTGGGTGTGGTGGCTCATGCCTGTAATCCCAAAACTTTGGGATGTCGAGGCAGCCAGCTCACTTGAGGATGGGAGTTTGAGACCAGCCTGGCCAATAAGGTGAAACCCCGTCTTTACTAAAAATACAAAAATTACCCACCATGGTGATGCACGCCTATAATCCCAGCTACTTGGGAGGATGAGGCAGGTGAATTGCTTGAATCCAGGAGGCAGAGGCTGCGGTGAGCTGAGATCACACCACTGTACTCCAGCCTGGGTGACAGAGCAAGACTCCATCTCAAAAAACAAACAAACAAAAAAACAAAAAAACCAAGACCAAAAACTTTGTTTTGTAGATCTTTTGTATTTTTTTAAATTTCAAATTCATTTATTTCTGCTCTGCTCTTCATTATTTGTTTTCTTCTACTAATTTTGGGTTTGGTTTGCTCTTGCTTTTCTAGTTCTTTAAGAAGAATCATTAGATTGCTTATTTGAAGTTTTTCTTCTTTTTTGATGTAGGCACTTAATAGCTATGAACTTCCTTAGTTCCTTAGCTGAACTTCCTTTTGTTGTATCCTATAGGTTTTGATATGTTTCCATTATCATTTGTTTCAAAAACATTTTCAATTTTTTTCTTAATTTCTTCATTGACCTGCTGGTCATTAAGGAGTATATTGTTTAATTTCCATGTGTTTGTATCATTTTTGAAATTCCTCTTGTTATTGATTTCTAGTTTTATTCCATTGTGGTCAGGGAGGATGCGTGATATTATTGCAACCTCTTTTTTTTTTTTTGAGATGGTGCGATCTCTGCTCACTGCAACCTCCGCCTCCTGGGTTCAAGCAATTCTTCTGCCATGTCTGGCTAATTTTTGTATTTCTGGTAGAGACGGGGTTTCACAATGTTGGCCAGGATGGTCTTGATCTCCTCACCTCATGATCCACCCGCCTCATCTTCCCAAAGTGCTGGGATTACAGGCATGAGCCATCATGCCCAACTTCAACTTTTTTGTGAATGTTTTAAGACTTGTTTTGTGACCCAATATATGGCCTATCTTTGAGAATGATCCATGTCCTAAGGAAAGAAAAATGTGTATTCTAGCTGGGCACAGTGGCTCATGCCTGTAATCCCGGCACTTTGGGAGACCAAGGCAGGCAGATCACGAGGGTCAAGAGATTGAGACTATCCTGACCAACATGGTGAAACTCCATCTCTACTAAAAATACAAAAATTAGCCAGGTGTGGTGGTGTATGCCAGTAGCCCCAGCTACTTGGGAGACTGAGGCAGGAGAATCACCTGAACCCAGAAGGCAGAGGTTGCAGTGAGCCGAGACGGTGTCACTGTACTCTAGCCTGGCAACAGAGACTCTGTCTCAACAACAACAAAGTGTACTCTGCAGCCATTGGAAGAAATGTTCTGTAAGTATCTATTAGGTCCATTTGGTCTATAGTGCAGTTAAGTTCAGTGTTTCTTTATTTTGTCTGGATGATGTGTCCAATGCTAAAAGTGGGGTGTTAGAGTCTCTAGTTATTGTTGTATTGGGGTCTAACACTCTCTTTAGCTCTAATAATATTTGCCTTATACATCTGGGTGCTCCAGTGTTATTTACAATTGGTATACCCTCCTGCTGAGTTGACCCCTTTATCATTATATAATGACCCTGTCAATTTTTGTAATTTTTGTCTTGAAATCTATTTTGTCTGATGTAAGTGTAGCTACTCCTACTCATTTATTGGCTTCCATTTGCATGGAGCATATTTTTCCAACTCTTTATTTTTAGTCTATAAGTGTCTTGATGGGTCAAGTGTGTTTCCTGTAGGCAACAGATGTTTGGGTTATGTTTTTGTTTTTGCTTTTCTGAGACAGCATCTCACTCTGTTGCCTAAGAAGGTGTGCAGTGGCACAGTCAGAGCTCACTTTTTAGCCTTAACCTCCTGAGATGAAGTGATCCTCCTACCTTAACTCCTGAGTAGATGGGTATACAGGTACACATCATCACACCCAGCTAATTTTTCAAAAATTCTTTGTAGACACAAGGTCCCACCATGTTGCCCAAACTGGTCTCAAACCCCTGGACTCAAGCAATACTCTTGCCTCGGCCTTCCAAAGTGCTCGGATTATAGGCATGAGCCACTGTGCCTAGTTGGGTCTTGTTTTTTAATGAATTCAACTACTTCATGTCTTTTGATTACAGAATTTAGTCCATTTACATTCAATGTTATTATTTATAAGTAAGGACTTACTACTGCCATTTTGTTATTTGTTTTCTTGTTGTTTTGTGGTCTTATCTTTCTTCTTTCGTTCCTTCTTGTTTTTTGTTTTGTGAAAGTGATTTTCTCTGATGGTATGTTTTAATTTCTTTGCTTTTTATTTTTTGTGTATCTGTGGTAGAGTTTCTGATTTGCAGTTACCAAGAGGCTTGCAAATAACATCTTATAACTCATTATTTTATACTGAATGGTAACTTAACTGTGATTGCAAAAACAAAAAACAAAGAAGCAAAGAGGAAACCAACAAAAACTCTACACTTAACTTCATCCCCCCCACCCCCTTTTTTTTGAGATGAAGTCTCCCTCTGTTGCCAAGGCTAGAGTGCCGTGGCACTATCTCGGCTCACTGCAACCTCTGCGTCCTAGGTTCAAGTGATTCTCCTGCCTCAGCCTCCTGAGTAGCTGGGATTATAGGCACGCGCCACCATGCCTTGCTGATTTTTTTTGTATTTTTAGTACGTAAGGTTTTGCCACATTGGCCAGGCTGGTCTTGAACTCCTGACCTCAGATGAGTTGCCCACCTCGGCCTCCCAAAGTGCTGGGATTACAGGCATGAGCCACAGTGCCCAGCCATAGTTGTTATTATTATTGTTGTTGTTATTATTTTATTAAGATGGAGTTTTGCTCTTGTTGCCTAGGCTGGAGTGCAATGTTGTGATCTCGGCTCACTGCAACCTCCACCTCCCAGGTTCAAGTGATTCTCCTGCCTCACCCTCCCAAGTAGTTGGGATTACAGTCATGCACCACCAAGTCTGGCTAATTTTGTATTTTTAGTAGAGACAGGGTTTCACCATGTTGGTCAGGGTGGTCTCATATTCCTGACCTCAGGTCATCTGCCTGCCTTGAATTGATAGGGTAACTTTGCTCATTTTTTTTTTTTTTTTTTTTTTTTTTTTTGAGATGGTTGTTCTGTTGCCCAGGCTGGAGTGCACTGGTGTGATCTTGGCTCACTGCAACCTACGCCTCCCTGGTTCAAGCGAATCTCCTGTCTCAGCCTCCCAAGTAGCTGGGATTACATGTGCCTGCCACCAGGCCCAGCTAATTTTTTGTAGTTTTAGTAAAGACGAGGTTTC